TTTCCCACGTTTTCCTGATTTTAAACAGTTGTTAATATAACTTCAGTTTACTATGTTCTAAATATTTGTTTTGGTGAAGATTACTAGCGGTATTGAAGTGGTTATTAACAATGCTTCAAACTATGCTTGCAGTTTTGTTGATTTGTTTATGGCGACTGAAAGTATTAGTCGAAAATCAACTCGTCTAAAATTTAGCGAAATACAAGAAAAACAACCTCGTCAATGGAAAAACTTTAGCTAGTATCATTAAACGATACATGGGGAACAAAATAGGATGATTTTTATTATGCATAGTCTCATATTTTTTTTTAAAAGAAGCAAAAATCTGTGACGTTCTAGAGAGGACGTGAAAATTGTATTTTCGCGTCGTGAAATCGTCCAAGACGACGTCGCAAACCAGAAGCTGACGATAGTTGGCGCCAAATGACGACATCCACGTCCTCTTGACGTCCGCGTCTTGTTATCTAAAACTGTCTAATGTGTAGTTACAAATGGAATAACAATTAAAAACAAGATTCAAATAAGTCTTTTGAAACAATAAATCGAATGAGCAGACTTAGCCTCAGCAGAAAGGCTATATTCCACAGTACAGCTCCACTATACCTAAAGCTTCTTTTAAGAAATTCGTTCTTAGGTTTTGGAAGTGAGAGATCTGTATCATAATTTCTGAGATAATAGTCATTATCATTATTGCTTCGTGCAGAAAAGAATTCTCAAAGACAGGGGGCAGTACCATTATTAAGAATGTGGTATACCAGAACCACTTTATTAAATCTAAATCTGTTTTCAAGATTTTTCCAGTTAAGCCGTTCAAGGAGCTCAGAGGAGTTGGTATCATAACTTACTCCCGTCAACACCCTTGCAGCTCTATTTTGGAATCTCTGTAGTTTTTCTTTTAGTACAATTCCACAATTATCCCACAAAGGGGAGCAATAATCAAAGTATGGCAGAATTAACGCCTTATAGATGATGTGCAGGGATTCATTGGGGACGAATGGCTTTGTTCGTTTTAAAACTCCTATCTTAAAGGTCACTAATTTATCTCCAATTTTATTTTTGATATTGTACCGGGAGCCTATGAACATTAGCTTACTTTTACTAGTATGGTTTGCAGTTTGTTATCCGAGAGCCATCTATACTAATATTTTTTAAATCAGAGTTTAATAGTTCCACCAGTTCATCATAATTATCAGACGAGGCAAATATCTGCGTATCATCAGCATATAAACCCGGAGTTGTAAATTTTAAATATTGCGGCAAATCATTAATATATAATAATAACATCAAAGGACCAAGAATGGACCCCTGCGGCACACCACTTTCTATGGGTTTCCAAGAGGATATATGGTCATTTACACAGCAAACTTGCTGATGATCAGTCAAGTAAGAGGTAAACCAATTCAATTCATTTTCACGAATACCAAACTGGTCCTTCATTTTTGACATTAAAATTTGATGGTTAATTAATTCAAATGCTTTCTTGATATCCAGAGAAACAAGACCAGTTATTTTACCCTCATCCATATTTTTTAGCCAGTTATCGCACATCTGGAGAAGTAAGGTTAGAGATGAATGTATAGGTCGAAATCCAGATTGAAACTTTGAAATTAGTGAGTTTGCAGATAAATAACTATATAGTTGCTGAAAAATTTCTTTTTCAAAGATTTTACTTACAACTGGGAGAATAGAAATTGGACGGTAATTCTCGCATTTGCTTCTATACTCAGATTTATAAATCGGTTGCACACGTGCTAATTTCCAGTGATTGACAAATATGCCAGTATGTAGTGATTGGTTAAAGATTGTTGTCAGAGATGGTGCAATTATATCTGCAGATAATTTAAGAGCTTTAGCTGGAATGTTGTCTACGCCAGTAGCTTTGGATGTTGCTAGTTGTTTTCAGTTGTTTAGAACTTGATGAACACTTATATCAGAAAAACAAAAAGTTGTGTTACATTCTAAATCACCACGATTTGTCACACCAGCAGAGGTATGATGATTTCTTCCACCCCGAGTGCAAGCGGGGGACCAATATTAACAAATTAAAATAATCATTTAATTTGTTTGCAATCAGGTTTCTATCTGTAAGAATTACATTACTATCAGTCCTAATTTCATTGATAATGGTTGATTTTGAATTTTTCCCAAGTAGGTTATTAATCAAGGACCAACTTTTTTTTACGTTCTTATGCTGAAGACACTCAGATATTTTAGTATTAAAATAGTTAGCTTTAAGATTTTTAATTTCAGCATTAATTTTATTTCTAATGGTTTTAAATTTTTACCAATGCATCTCAGAATTGATTTTTTTAAACATCATTTTATGAAAATCTCTTTGCCTCATTAGTTGCTTAATAGAGGCATTTAGTCATGGAATTCTTGTAGTTTTAATATACTTCCTCAGAACTGGCGCGTGTCTATCAAGTACTTCTATAAAGAAGGACTTCCAGACTTTCCAGCTATCATTCGGGTTATTAAATTGATTGACATAATCCCAGGGGATTCTAGACAAATCGCGCAAAAATAACCTTTCATTAAAGTTTTTAAAATTTCGAACTTCACTACATGTTCTCTGTCCTTTTAATGGAACTAGTTTTTTAACAGCATAAATCAAACTATGATCTGAAATCCCAATTTCAATTACTCCATGATTGGAGATGCTTTTGGGATTATTGGCCAGAATTAGGTCAATCTGTGTTGCTGAAGACTTAGTCACCCTCGTTGGCTCATCAATAATTTGACTAAGTTGATACAACACACATATATTTTTTAGTTTTGCGTATAACTGTCCAACGGCGTCTTATTTCAGTCACAATTTAGATCTCCCAGAACAGGTAGCTCTTTACTTTCTATCTCACATTTATTAATAAACATTTCAAAACTGTCAAATAGATCTATGTTTGAGATTCGGTGGCCTGTAACACGCACTAATTAAGAAAGGTTTACCGTATTTACGGCAAATTTCAATGCACATCATCTCAAGCTGATTAGGAATCAGTTCTTTCCGCTCTAAAAATGAAAAGCAGTCTCTGATATACAACACAACACTCCCACCATTTCTATTTCGATCCTTCCGGCACAAAGCGTATCCTGCATGTATTTTGATCTCATTGTCAGAAATAGAGTCATCTATTTTAGACTCATTCATAGCCAGGACATCCAGCGGATTTTTTTCTAAAATCACTCGAATCTCATCGATATGTTTTACATTCAAACTATTACAAGACTATTTACATTCAAACCGGCGATTGGAAATCCTTTTGATTTAGCAATTATACTTAGAGGATACAATACATTACTATTAGTATTAGGATAATTATCATTTAACGAGTTCGTCTTCTTTGAGACATAGATATCTGAGTTAAGGCAGCCAGATTTAACAGATCTCTGAGAAAATTTTCAGAAGATACATGGTTTCGTACTGGTTGTTTATTTAATTGTTTGTCAGGGTTTAAAAATTTAAAAAAGCGTGTAGCTAGTAAAGCAATTTTGATTTAGCAATTATATTTAGAGGATACAATACATTACTATTAGTATTAGGATAATTATCATTTAACGAGTTCGTCTTCTTTGAGACATAGATGTCTGAGTTAAGGCAGCCAGATTTAACAGATCTCTGAGAAAATTTTCAGAAGATACATGGTTTCGTACTGGTTGTTTATTTAATTGTTTATCAGGGTTTAAAAATTTAAAAAAGCGTGTAGCTAGTAAAGCAGATCCTTTTGCGCTCAGATGGAATTTACTATTATTAAGCCCAGATTCATCTATGATTGAATTGTCAATAAAAGAAAAGCCAGATTCATTACATAAACGTTTTAGATCTTCATTTACTTGATACATTTTACTCGATACTTTAATATCTTTCCTTAAAATGATACTTGAAACACCTAATTTAGCCTTAGGAAACTTTTCTTTAATACTAGAACACAAACCTTTGATGTTCATTATATACTGATCACTCTTGGTAGATTGTTTGTCCCGGCGTGTATAATAACATGCATGGGTTGGATGTAACTGAACATTTATATTCTTTACTTCAGATGCAATCCTCCGCTCTTTTGCCTGGAAACGTGAATTTATTAACCCGTTTTCTTGATAGCTTACGAGGGTTAATGTTCTTAATCATTGAGTCTCCAACGATGGCGATATTTGGTTTGTTTTCAGATTGATTTTCCTTCTGTCGATGACCATTTAGATTTTGATTAATTTCATTCTCCGTGTCAAAAGTTGATTCTTTATTGCCGGGATTCTTGTGGGCCGTGATCGGTCTGACATAAGGCGGGCGTTGTCCTTCTGTTGGTTCTACATCGCTGTCACTAAGGACTTCATATCTGTTAACATCCGCGATACTGGCGGCCGTTTTGTGGGCATCCTTGCTAACGTTTGGTTTCTTATTTCGAACAACATGCCAGTTGTCAACTTGATTTTTGGTTCCACTAGGTTTGGATTGATCTAGTTGAACCAGCTTAATTGCCGTAATTAGGCTGGGGTTTTTTTCGTTCTCCATGTCTTTAAGTTTAGTTTGCAAGTCTGCCATAGCGTACGATATAGTCGCATTTCTTTGGCGTAATTCTAAGTTTTCGTTTTTAAGTTCGTCTATTTCCCGTTTGAGGTTGTTGATCAGATCAATTCGTTCTGGTTGACTTGTATTGGCCTTCAGATTGTTTACTTCTTGCGAAATCCCCTCGATCTTGTCGTCTATTCTTTGCATGAATTTACTCATGAGATCGTTTATCAATATATAGATATTGTTCTAAATTACTGCATGTTGAGTCACACGTGGGATAGTTTGTGGACGGGCCATTAGTTTTTATTGAATCTTTATGTAAATCACTGCTATATTGCAATTCGTCTTGACTTTGGCTAATCTCTTCTACTTCGTTTTCCAAAGTGGAGATGAAGTTTGCTTTAATTTCACTGGCTTTATTTCCTTTGAAAGTGAATACCAGCGCACAGAAAGCTCTTCGTATTCATACAATTTCGAGCCACAGTCTGGAGTCATCCATTTGGCTTTTGGTAATTGCAATTTCTCGACGAGATATTTTAGGCTTTCAAAGCTACCGAGCCACTTCAGGGTTCCCTTATCTGTGATCTTTAATCTTTCCCCATATGTTGTTGCTTCATCTGTAGTAGACGATGTGAATTCCAGCTTTATACACGACCCATTACATATTTAATAGCCGCCTAGCGTTTTCTCAATGTCGAGTACTTTGTCCGTGAAGAAAAGTCACTGCTGTTCTGAGGGAATTTATAGCTTCTCTTGAATTTTATTCTGCACACAATCAACCGTAGTGTTCGACTCAACTTCTAAGGCACAAAGTGTTACACTTCGACTGTTATTCACCTAGATTTTCATTGCCGCTTTAATAGATTGCTTCGATTTCGAACTTGAGATTTAGCAAGTCGTACAGATTTAGTCAAGTGCTAAGTCGTACAGATTTAGCAAGTCGTACAGATTTAGTCAAAACTTTAATCAAAGCGAAAATGATAAAAGTTTTCTTGCACTTCTCATGTGTTTAGCACCTTTTCTCGTTCGAAAAGTATAAGCGCCATGTTGAAAAATTTTGCTGTGTAACTAAACTACCATGATGCTTAGCAATTCCGCAATTGGCCCATTAGGCGAGTCGGATGAAAGGATGGAAGAATATGACAGCATGGGAGAAAATGGAAGGCAACATATTGTGCCTAGGAAAAAGAGAGTAAATATAATTTGTACAAAATATAAATTGATGAGAAACTTCTCCATTGTGTTAATCATAATATTGCAGCTACTGTACTTTAGTGCCTACAAGGTTGCATTGTTTGCCACCATACAATAGGGGGTCTAAAACTCTTAATATTCAAAAGTAGGCTCAATAACTATAAGGCGTAAAGAAATACCTGTGGTTCCAGTTTTTGTGTTGAAAAAATAATAGGGTCTGCAGCAAAAAAAAATACCGGTAGGGTCGTCGTGAACCGGAACCATGCACAGGGTTTTTTTACGCCTAAGAGCAGCATGCAGTATATTTTTTGTTATTAACTGTCAGTGCCTTTTATAACTATATATCTTGGGGGGAGGGGAAATTGCCCCCCAGGGAAAGAATCCCTCCCCCCCCCAGTAAAGCCATTTCTGCTCCCGACATGCGAAGCAAAATTGCTCATGATTGCTGTCAGAATTGCAGTTGATTTACTTGATAATGAGATTATGCCCTTCAATAGCCTCCTCCACAGCCATCTTGTGTGTAATTCATATTGATCTTCACCGAGTATTTCATAATAGCGATAGATTTCATGCAAACAATCCGATAATATGCTAGCCTTTCCAAGCCTTGCGACTATTTCCTAGCACTCTCCTCCACAGGCGCGTTGTGTTTTGTTTTGGGAGGTTTTATTGCAAAATTTTTTTCTTAACAAATATCAAGCTATATTAAGAGCCCCCCCAATCGCCACAAAAACCATTCACTCCGAAAGGCTAAATACTTAGAAAATTGGGGGGGGGGGGGTGGTACACGTTACATGCTGGAAGCTGAAACTGATTAAGAGTTCATGTCAGTAAAAATCGAACATATGAGACATTGCGCGGCCACGACTGAAAAATCGATTTTGCTCAAATTTTGCCCAGATATACCTTATTATATCGGAAAATGCACCATATATTTTTTTAGGTCAAATGCTTTTTTAACTTTGAGAAAATGCCGTTTTAACACGACCACCCTAAATCGCCATCTTTTCTGGGAAAATATGCGCTGATCCCCGAGCCGACGGCGCGAAGCGCCGTGCGAGGGTCCCCCCGGCTATTTACACCCGGGGAAAGGAAGCATTAGCGAAGTCTAAAGTTCATCAAATATCGCGGGCGTGGGTCACTGTGCGTGTTTCGGTGGGTGGTCATCCTCACTGATCTCATAATATGGCGGACTGTAATGAATAGCCAACACTGATTGGTCCAATTTAAAATTGGCATTATAACGGCTGCATGACGATTGACGGCAGCGAAATTGATTTGATGATTTCTTGCAAATATATTTCATTTTTGCAAGATTTTGTAAATTGCAAAGGATTTTTGATGAAATAAAGGCAAGAGGATTGCTAAAAGAAGGAAGTAAAGGTGCCGGCGTTAACGAAGGTAAGTTTGTTTTAAGTATTGATGCATTGTTTGCTTTTAATATACTGTAATCTCGATCGGCTGTAATTACTTTAAAAGCCGATCGTTGCGTATATAAAATATGAAACAAGACAGCGTATTATTTCAGTGTTTCTTTATTGATTACACTTTTTATTATACTAAGCAAAGTTATTTACATGGGAGAATTTGGAATCATTTTATTTCGAACTCAAAGTTTATCGATAAAGGCAGTTTAGTTCTATATTAAAAGAACACTTTCAAACGTTTTGCGAAGCGTTTGTGGTTAAATTTTACCTTAAATTCAGGATTATATTACGTATTTAATAACATACCTACTGTAATTACTTTAAAAGCCGATCGTTGTGTATAAATATGAAACAAGACAGCGTATTATTTCAGTGTTTCTTTATTGATTACACTTTTTATTATACAAAGCAAAGTTATTTGCATGGGAGAATTTGGAATAATTTTATTTCGAACTCAAAGTTTATCGATAAAGGCAGTTTAGTTCTATAGTAAAAGAACATTTTAAAACGTTTTGCCATAGGCGTACCGGGCGGGGGGGCGGGGGGGGGCGGCAGCCCCCCCAGTTTTTTGGGCAGTCGGGCAATATTCGATCAACAGTCGGGCAATTTTGGTTTGAAAAAAAAATAATGGGACAAATTCAGTCAATTTTATCTAAAATTAAGTCAATTTTTTCGCAAATTGTGTGATTTTTCGAAAATTTGTGTTATGTTCCGAAAAA